ATAAAAAAATTAAAAAAAAAAAAAAAAAAAAAAAAAAAAAAAAAAAAAAAAAAAAAAAAAAAAAAAAAAAAAAAAAAAAAAAAAAAAAAAAAAAAAAAAAAAAAAAAAAAAAAAAAAAAAAAAACGGCATTCCTTGCGCATCTGGGGACCAGCACCGTCGACCCACCGCTCTCGCCTCGAAGAGTGCCTGGCCACCAGAAGCAAACACATGAGGAAGAGGAGGAGGAAGTGGAGGAGGAGGAAGAGGAGGTCAATACATCCATAAAAACACAGAAAATAGTTGTGTTGTTTTGACATTTATTTTTACATTTTTCAATATATATATATATATATATATATAAACAAAAAAAAAAAAAAAAAAAAAAAAAAAAAAAAAAAAAAAAAAAAAAAAAAAAAAAAAAAAAAAACGTGTCGGGCCCGCCTCGCCGAGTCCGAGATTGGACCCAAGAGGCACCCGGGCTGCCCGGGGCGCTCCGAGACGCTCCAAGACGCTCCCAAGCCTTCCCAGACGCTGCAACCCTTCTCCAAGCGCTCCCAAGCTGGCCGTCTGAAGGGGAACTGGGACACACAAATAAATACACACAAATAAAAATATCCCCCATATTTTCCCATATTTTCTGGGTTTTTGTCTTCCCCCCCACTTCCCATATTTTCCCATATTTTCTGGGGAATCGACGATTAATTGTGTCTGTGTGTTTTTTCCCCTCCTGACCGTCGCCACCCAAGAGCCACCCAGGCAGCCCAGGGCGCTCCCAGACGCTCAGAGATGCCCCCAAGCGCCCACGGACGCTTCAATCCCTCCCCAGGCGCTCCCAAGCTGGCCGTCGCCACCAGCAGCAAGAGCATCCACATCTTCAGTCTCATCGCCCTCGTCAACGCGGGGGGCCTCAAGGAGCAGATGGATTCAGATCGCGTTGCCGCGTGGACCACCAGCCATTCTCACCATGGGGCTTCCGCTTTGCCGGCGCCGCGCACCGTCGTCTCACACAGCCACAGAACGGATGGAAGGCGGGGCGGTTTCAAAGAGGTGCTCTCACCATGGCGCCGGGCTCGCTCGGCTGCCAAAGTGTCCCTGACTGCGGGAGAGGATGGCGAGCCATTTCCAAGACGGTGGGGGGTTGTGGCCAAGGAGCCCTTAGATGAGGAATCCAAGGTCTGGAAGCCGGTGGAGCTCCAATCGTGGAGCGGACATGGATATCACCGCCGCCCTATCGGATAAGGAGCCCTCCGGGGTCTGCGGCCGCCTGGGCACGCTCCTCAACGAACGCCCCCACCGCACTGGGGTCTCCCCGTGGCCTCGCGCGCGTTCGAACATTAGAGAGAGCGTGCTCCACCGCCGCTTTACTGTGGAAAATTCACCCCCCTCTTCCTCCGGAGCCCGGGGGTCCCCCCCCCTTCGAAAATCCCACCCTCCTGCTGGACCCCCCCCTTCCCCTGCCCCCCCCCCCCCAAACCCCCCCCCCATCCGGAAACCGGGGGGGCTCCCCCCCCCCCCCCCTCCAGAAAACGGGGTGGGGGTCACTACCGGTTCGAACCCCCTCCCCACCCCCCTTCCCCTCGCCGCCGGCAAACGAATCCCGCTCCTCGGGACAGTGCACAACGGAAAACCAGGGGGGGGGGGTCACTACTGGTTCGAACCCCTCCCCCCCTTCCTCCAGAAAACAGGGGGGGGGTCACTACCGGTTCGAAGCCCTCCCCCGCGTCCAGAAAACCCGGGGGGGTCACTACCTGTTCGACCCTCCCCCCCTCACCGCCAGCAAACGACTCCCGAATCCCCACCACCGTCCGCACCACATTCCCCAGCACCACCGTCCACACCACCACTGTCCCCACTTATCCACCACCGTCCCCACTGTCCCCACCAGTGTCCCCAGTACTGTCGCACTGTCCCCACTGTTCCCACCACTGTCCCACCACGGTCCCACTCTCCCCACTTTCCCCACGGTCCCCACCACTGTCCCACAGTCCCCACTGTCCTCACTGTCCCACTGTCCCCGCCGCTGTCCCACTGAGCTGTCCAACTGAGCTGTCCCAGTGTTCCCACCACTGTCCCCACCACTGTCCCCACTGTACCCCTGTCGCACTGTCCCACCACTGTCCTCACCACCGCCATCACCAATGTCCCCACCACCACCGTCCCCACCACTGTCCCACTGTCCCACTGTCCCCACCACTGTCCCACTGTCCCCGCACCACTGTCCGCACCACCACCGTCCCCACCATTGTCCCACTGTCCCCACCACTGTCCCAGTGTCCCCACTGTTCCCACCATTGTCCCCGCTGTCCCCACCAGTGCCCTGTCCCCACTGTCCCCACCATTGTCCCACCACGGTCCCACTCTCCCCATTGTCCCTACTGTCCCCACCACTGTCCCACTGTCCCCACTGTTCCCACCACTGTCCCACTGTCCCGACTGTCCCCGCCGCTGTCCCACTGTGCTGTCCCACTGTCCCCACTGAGTGTCCCCACCACTGTCCCCACCACCGTCCCACTGTCCCCACTGTCCCCACCACTCTCCCCACTGTACCACTGTCCCACCACCGTCCTCACCACCGCCTTCACCACTGTCCCCACCACTACCGCCCCCACCACTGTCCCCACTGTCCCAATGTCCCCACTGTCCCCACCACTGTCCCGCTGTCCCCTCACCACTGTCCCCACCACCACCGTCCCCACCACTGTCCCACTGTCCCCGCCACTGCCCCATTGTCCCCACACGACTGTCCCCACCACCACCTTCCCCACCACTGTCCCACTGTCCCCACCACTGTTCCACTGTCCCGAGGAGCGAAAATCGTTTGCCGGCGGCGAGGGGGGGGGGGGGGGCTCGAACCGGTAGTGACCCCCCCCTCCTTTTCATGATGGACGGGGGGGGAGGGGGGGGTTCGAACTGGTAGTGACCCTCTCAGTTTTCGGAAAAGAGGAAAAGAGAGTCAAGTTAACAACCCCCAATGACCCCCCCCGGGTTTTCCGCCAGTGGCGGTAGAACACGCCCTTTCGAGTATCAAAGTCCACCGACTACTGTGCAACAACTGACACGGATGGAGGGCGGCCCCTCTTTCGAAACGGGGCTCTCGCGTGAGACTTCCACGAAGCCTACGTCCACGACTTTGACACCCTGCATCGCTGAGAAAGATGCAGGGAATGTCCTCCTCAAAATGAAGCTATACCTGGGTCTCCTTGAAGGGCTCTCGCGTGGGACTTCCGCGGAGCATACGTCCACGATTTTGACTTCCTGCGACGCTTGGACGGATGGAGGGCATGAATTTCTCAAAATGGGGCTACCCTGGGCGTCTTCATTAAGTGGAGGGAGGATCCTTCACAACAGGCGCCCTCGTCAGACTGGCGAACCGACCGGCCGCTCGTCATTCAAAGGGGGGCGCCCGCAGCGGAAATGAATGCTTGTATGGACTTATGGGGAGGGGACTGGGGACCGGTGAGTGTATTGCAGTATCGGTTGGCGCATCTTGGTCCTCCTCTTCCTCCTCCTCCTCCTCCTCCTCCTCCTCCTCCTCCTCCTCTCCTCCTCCTCCTCCTCCTCTTCCTCCTCCTTCTCCTCCTCCTCCTCCTCCTCCCCTTCCTCCTCTTCCTCCTCCTCTTCCTCCTCGTCCTCCTCCGGCCTATTCCGCAATCCCAGCACGCTTCCAGCTTTGAGGTGCGTGTCCGTCGTGGCTCCAAAACGGCCGAAGAGGCCTCCAAGAGGTCCCCAAGACGGCCTAAGAGCGCCCCAAGCCGGCCCAGGAGGCGCCCAAGACGGCCCCTCGTGCATAGGCTCGCGTTCAAGGACGCGCACACCGCTTGCACCGCACGACTTGAATTACATTGCGTGTGCCACATAGCTTTCACCCCGTGAACTGCACGACACTGGACAGCACTGCATGTGGGCGACTTCGAAAACCCTGAGCCCAAAAACGTTTTCATCTCTTGGGGGTGCACTCTTTACTTCCGCCACCTGCCGCCGCCCTTCCGCCGGCTTCCGCCGGCGGATGCGGCCTCGTTTTACTTCCGCCGACCTCCCGCCGCCCTTCCGCCGCCTTCCGCCGCGGAAGAGATGGCAACTCCTTCGATCCTCAAAGACGAGGCCCTTTCTGGAGCGCCCCGTATACTGCATACCCTACATTGCACCATGGGCCGTTCTGGAGACACCGAATCGAACATGCTGCCATCTCTGTAAGGACCGATGTGTACTTCCGCTGGCCTCCGCCCAGCCTTCTTCCAGCGGAGCCGCCCTCGTGTTCCTTCTGCATCTTCCGCGAACCTTACGCCGATGAAGCGATCGCAACTTCTCGATGCCTCGAAGACGAGGCACTTTCTGGAACGCCTCACCTAGGTTGCACCACATATATTGCACTCGATATGTTGCACAGCATCTACTGCATCCCACAGCTCGTACCAAACAGCTTGCCTCACATGGCTTGCACAACACATGTTGCCTCCCATGAATTGCGCCAAATTCACCTGTTGCACCACGTAGCTTGCCCCCCGTCTGACTACGTCACGACAGGCGATGCACCAGGCAAATCGACCCCACAGATGTGCACCACACAGGGTGCTCATCAAGAGTGCAAAGACCACTGCTTGAGGTCCATGGCAGAATACAGTAAACGTTCCACTTCACTTTTGCCTTCGTCGCCTGAGCCTGCATCGTCGTCGGGTGTCTGGCCCCGGGCGCCCACGCTGGCTCCCGCCGCGCCCTCCTGCCCCGCACCCACCGCCGAGTCGTCGTACATCATCTCGTTCGAGATCGTAAGTGCCTCAGGCGCGCACTAAAGCGCACGTCGTTATGCACAGATCGGTCAGTGGAAGGATATCGAGGGCGACAGGGAAAATGATCATTTGGACCCGGATTGAGAACCAATGTTATGATAACAATGGTGCGGGCCTGTTTGAACTACTGATGGCGATGCCAAGCAAGACGACCCACTGAAAACAACACCAAGTATGCGATGAATCAACAGCCGAAAAGGGCTGGGATGCTCCTCACATGCTCAAACATCAAATTATAGCACGAAGACCCTGCTGGCCAAGGCACGATCCAGCTGATCACCTGCCCTGAACAGGGCGTACTACACAAGCAGCGCGGCGATGCTGCATAAGAGAAGGGAGGGGGCGACAGCGGAAAATATGGAAACGAACCACATCGAAGAACGCACGTACCACCATGACCACGAGCCGAGGCGGGTGATGAAGAGGGCCAGCTTTTCCCCACCGGCGCGGTGAGCCAGCGGCGTCAGGCGCCGGCGGTCTTCCAGGCGCGCGGTGAGCCAGCGGCGTCAGGCGCCGGCGGTCTTCCAGGCCACGCCCGCGCTGCTCCAGAGCCGACTGCCCGGAGCCTCGCCCTCGCCGCTGGAGCCGCTCCCCTGGGCAGCCACGGCCTTCAGCCAGTCCTGGCCGGTGCCCTCGGCGCCCTCGTCCAGCCAGCGGCTCGCGGCGGAGCGGCCCTGCCACGGCCTGGGCGACCAGGCGGCGGCGCTGTTCCAGCGTCTCTGGTTGTCGCGGAGGCCCAGCTGGCTCGGGGCAGTGCGCCCGCGGGCCTCCTGCTGACGCGACGTCCTGCCGCCGCCGCGGTTGCCTGCCACCGCCTCGAGGGTGATGTGGTTCTTGATCGGGTCTATCGCAAGGATCCGCAGCCCCCCGACCCAGTCCCCAGTTTTGAAGGCCCTTCCCAGCTTGTCCACCTCCCTGGCGGGCACGAGCGCGTCCTTCTGGGCGCCGAAATTCACGTAGACGCCGAGGGTGGCGACGTTGGTGACCCAGCCCTCCGCTGGGTCTCCACACTGCAGCTCGCTGGTGGCTTTGCCTTCCTTGTGCACCCACCCGTGCGCAGGCCTTGGCGTCGTTGGCCTCAAGTAGGCGAGCGACGCTGCCATCGTGTCGCTGCAGCCTTCGTGGGCACGGGCGCTGCTGCTCCTGCTGCCGCCGCCGTCGGGCGCAGCGCCGCTGCCGCCGCCGGCCGAGGCGCCGTCACACCACCACCTGGCCGCCTGGGCCCCGGCGTCGTGGCCGCCGCCGGGCGCAGCGCCGCTGCCGCCGCCGGCCGAGGTGCCGTCACACCACCACCTGGCCGCCTGGGCCCCGGCGTCGTGGCCGCCGAGGTCCCGGCCTGGGCTGCAGCCGTCGCTCAGAGCACCCCCACCGCTGTAGCCCTCCGGGGGGCGCTGGGCCTCGCCGGCCAGCCGCAGCTCCTGGTGCGGGCCGCTGCCGGAAGACGAGCCCGACCACAGCTCCCGGGGCGTGCCCCCGTGGGGCCGCCCCGCGCGGAGGCCGTGGGCCTCCCCCGGGCCGCGGTGGCACCACCCGGGCGCGCCGCAGCCTGGCCCGCCCGCCGCCCCTGGCTCCTGGGTTTCTTCGGACGGGCCGGGGCCCCGCCACGACGCAAGACGAAGCCAGGGCAAGGACAAATCTCGGGTGAGGATTTTTCCCAACCATCCTGTGGTGTTGGGTCCTCGTTTTGAAGAGACGGTGGCCCGCGTCTCCTCTCCTCCTCTCCTCCTCCCCCTCCTCCCTGCGTTTCACGCACCCAGCACAGCGCTTCGTAGCCCCATAGGGAGCTCCACCGAAGGCCCCACTGGCAGGGTTCGCACGGCGGCCTCGGGCCATTTCGGCACACCCCTCACGACGATCGTGGCCCCATAGGGACCTCCACCGAAGGCTCCAATGGCAGGGTTCGCATGGCGGCCTCGGGCCATTTCGGCACACCCCTCACGAGGATCGTGGCCCCATAGGGAGCTCCACCGAAGGCGCCAGTGGCAGGGTTCGCACGGCGGCCTCGGGCCATTTCGGCACACCCCTCACGACGATCGTAGACTCATAAGGGAGCTCCACCGAAGGCGCCAGTGGCAGGGTTCGCATGGCGGCCTCGGGCCATTTCGGCACACCCCTCACGAAGATCGTGGCCCCATAGGGAGCTCCACCGAAGGCCCAGTGGCAGGGTTCGCATGGCGGCCTCGGGCCATTTCGGCACACCCCTCACGACGATCGTGGACCCATAGGGAGCTCCACCGAAGGCGCCAGTGGCAGGGTTCGCATGGCGGCCTCGGGCCATTTCGGCACACCCCTCACGAGGATCGTGGCCCCATAGGGAGCTCCACCGAAGGCGCCAGTGGCAGGGTTCGCATGGCGGCCTCGGGCCATGTCGGCACACCCCTCACGAGGATCGTGGCCCCATAGGGAGCTCCACCGACTGCCCCCAGTGGCAGGGTTCGCATGGCGGCCTCGGGCCATTTCGGCACACCCCTCTCGAGGATCGTGGCCCCATAGGGAGCTCCACCGAAGGCCCCCAGTGGCAGGGTTCGCGTGGCGGCCTCGGGCCATTTCGGCGCACCCCTCACGAAGATCGTGGCCCCATAGGGAGCTCCACTGAAGGCGCCAGTGGCAGGGGTCGCATGGCGGCCTCGGGCCATTTCGGCACACCACTCACGAAGATCGTGGCCCCATAGGGAGCTCCACCGAAGGCGCCAGTGGCAGGGTTCGCATGGCGGCCTCGGGCCACGTCGGCACACCCCTCACGACGATCGTGGACCCATAGGGAGCTCCACATAAGGCCCCACTGGCAGGGTTCGCATGGCGGCCTCGGGCCATTTCGGCACGCCCCTCACGAGGACCGTGGCCCCACTGGAGCTCCACCGAAGGCGCCAGTGGCAGGGTTCGCACGGCGGCCTCGGGCCATGTCGGCACACCCCTCACGAGGATCGTGGCCCCATAGTTGCGCAGCTTCAACAACCGCGCCTAAGCGTCGTACTCCGCCTTGTCGACGTGCAACGCCACCTCCTCCCTCATGGCTCTCAAGGCGCTTTCCTGCTTTTGCTCCTCGGTGAGAGGGACGCCGTCCTTGTCGTCGTCGGCGCCCGCGAAGACGGCCACGAACGTGTCCCTGAGCATGTCGGGCTCCGGCGGGGAGCCGTGGCCACATAGGGAGCGCGGGCGAAGATGGTATTCACAATTGCGGTATCCACAACTGCATATGGTTGGGTCCTTCGCCAGGATAATTTGTGTGTTGTTCTTCCTCGCGCCATGCTGCGAGCAGCCTCGTGATGACGAGCGCGGGCCACTTAAACGTGACACGGGTGAGGATACATCGAGGATCTCTGAGATCCAGCGGCTCTGGAGGATGTCTTGGGCGCCGCGGCCTTCTCAGATCTGGACAAGCGCGTTTCTCTACTCGCAAATGGCCTGGATCCGCCGCGGGGGATTTACCATACATTGCATACAGGACGACATGTTTTTTGACGATTGCGAGTAGGCACTTTGCGAGTAGTGGAACGCAGATCGGAACGCTGTGGAACGGATTTATTATCGTCCTAGCCCCGTCCGATGACGCGCAGGCCCGTTGCCATGTCGCAGCCGTGTGCGCCAGGACCTCGTGCGGCGGACCGCAGCCGCCCCGCCAGGAGGCGCTGTCGCGCGACCGCCTGGCAGCTGGGGTGTCGTGGGACTCGCCTGGGTCGCGGTCGCTCCGCCGAGCCTCCCAGATGGATGCCGCCGGCGTTGTTCCCCACCACTGCGCCGAACACCTGGCGGCAGGCTCGCCAGAGGTTGCCTCCCACCAGCTGGACGAACGCCACCAGCCATCGCCACGATCGGAGGCCCCCGCCGCCTCGGGCCCAACGGTCGTGGGCCCACCCCAGCCTTCGCCCCACGCCTCTCTCCAGCTCCACGCCGCATGGCCCCCGGCAGCCTGGGCGGCCCCAGGCCCGTCGGCTGCCCAGCCGCTCCACGCGCGAGCCGCGCCAGCGTGGTGGCAGGCGCTCCAGCTCCACGCCCGCTCGCCCTCGCCGGGGCAGCTCCCCGGCCACTGCCAGGCCTCCTCGCCGGGTGGCTCCTGGACCTCCGGCGCGCGGTCGCACCACCGCACCGTCTTGCCCGGGAGCTCGCGAGCGCCGCCGCCCGGGCCGCCCGCCTCCCCGCCCTTCTTCAGGATCGAGGGCGCTGCCCGGGGCGTGCGGTTCCTGGCCGCGACGCGCGCCGCCAGGGCGTCGCTGACGAAGAGGCCCGGGTCCAGGGCGAGGGGCGCGCTGCCGACGGGGCCTGTCAGGGGCGTCCTGAGGACCCACTCGGCCAGCATCCACGGGGGCACGCTGGGGTCCTCCATGTCCTCGTCCCGGAGCTCCCGCCCCACGTCGGGCCCGTCATGCTGGCCTCCCTTGCCGTCCCCGTCGCGGCGCATGGGCGGCCGAGGGCGCAGTCGTCCAGGCCCGAGGCTGGCGGCTCTCGGCTAAGATTGAACCCGACAGGCTACAGGCGAAGCAGATCAGGCGAAAAGTGAAGACGAGGGAGAGAGAAGGCCAGCGAGAGGACCAGACGACCGCCGCTGAAAGGACGATGGCACCCCGCAGCAGAAACATCCGCCATCTTGCCGTACGGTTGATGAACAACATTCTACACCACCCGCGCGGCCAGGGTGCCGGCGCAAACTTCAACGCAGCCTGCCCCGATTCAGTGTTGGTTGGCATCGCCAGTGGGGCGCAGGACTTCGGCCAGTCGGCAGATCGACCCATCGCGGCGCAACCCGCCAGTCTTGAATCGGGGACGCGGAGGGGGGGTACGAAAATCAACATACCAGGTGGTGCATCGCAGTGCGCCATTGCCAAAGAAGTGACACATGTCAGGCAGAATCAGCTCCTCTGCGAGGCTGCACGTTGCACGCTGGTGAGACCATGCGTAGACTGCGGCCTTGCTGCGTCGGCGGGCTCCAAGGGCTGCCTGGCCGTGAGGATGCAGGATCTTGCCCATCTGCCGCAGGGCGGGCCCCAACAGGGGCGGGTCGGGCGAGGTCGCATGGGCGGGTCGGGCGGACAGATCCTTTCGGGCAGGACGGGGGTAAAAACTGCAAGAGTGACCTTGACGATCAAACTTGGCAGGAATTGGAGCAGTTTTCAACCAGCAAGCGGCGCACCCCCGCTAAGCGTCACTGATAGCGCTAGTGCCCCTTTCGCAGGGATGAATTCGCCAACGCATCAAACGCGCGGGGGGGGCCCGATGGGCGGGCCAGGCGGGCGAGATGTTATAGGGCGGGCGGGTCGGCTGCCGAGCAAGCGAAGGAGCGGACCCGAACAGGCGGGATACTAAAACGCAGGCGGGGTGCTGGAGCGGGCGGGTCGGGGGGGGGGGCGGGCCGGCCCCGACGGGCAGGTCGGGCGGGCGGGACAGTGGAACGGACAGGCGGGCGGGGCTTCCAGGCTTCCTGAATGAAGGGGAACTGGGACACACAAATAAATACACACAAATAAAAATACCCCCCATATTTTCTCATATTTTCTGGGTTTCTGTCTTCCCCCCCACATCCCATATTTTCCCATATTTTCCTGGGAGTGGACGATTAATTGTGTCTGTGTGTTTTTTCTCCTCCTGACTGAACAGATCCTGGGGGTTCTCGGGGGCGAACGCGAGTCCTGAGTAAATCGTGCAGAAGTCCAAAGCGAAAATATAGTTCCTGCGTGGCGGGAGCAGGGTTCTTCAGAGAGCTGTAAGACGTCCCGGGCGCGAGCATGGTTCCTGGAATGCGGGAACACTGAAGAGAGTCAAGGCGAAAGTCCGATTCTTGCGTAAGTTGCTAGACGTATCAGATGAGAGCGCGGTCACTGCGTGGATGGTGACGACATCTCAGGCGGAGTCCGTTGATGTTGCAGCCGTGGGCCCAGGGGCACAATTGAAAAATGCGAACGTCGAAAAGTGCACTTCGATAGGGAACCGAAATCGGCACCGGCCGGGAGGGTCAGCTGCACGTTGTCTTCAGACATGCGCGCTCAACAACAACAATCGTTATAAGACTGCTCACTCTTCGTTGTTCGCGTGCCGTACAATCTATGCCGGAGGCTGGGGGGTGAGATCGCAGTGAAACGGAGAACCCCCTCCGGGAAGTCGGTTTCGGTTTCGTGTTCGTGTCGTGCGTGCGGGCGAGGAGAAGCTGCGCGTGATCCTCCTGTAGTTAGGCCGAAGTAGGAGCGAAAGTCCGTTCCCGTCCGCCGGTGGCTGGTTGGGCCGGGCGGTGTCCCAGGTGTGGCCGGGCGGTGTCCCGGGTGTCCCGGGTGTCCCGTGGTGTCCCGTGGTGTCCCGTGGTGTCCCGTTGAGTGAGATCGATAATGAGATCGACAAGTGTCCCGTGGTGGCCCGTGATGTCCCGTGGTGTCCCGTTGAGTGAGATCGATACTGAGATCGATACTGAGATCGATACTGAGATCGATGTGGTGCCCCGAGGTGTCCCGTGGTGTCCCGTGGTGTCACGTTGAGCGAGACCGATAGTGAGATCGACAGGTGTCCCGCGGTGTCCCGTTGTGCCCCGCCTTGTGAGATCGATAGTGAGATCGATCGTGAGACCGATAGTGAGATCGATGTGGTGTCCCGCGGTGTCCCGTGGTGTCCTATGGTGTCCCGCTGAGTGAGGTCGATAGTGAGATCGATACTGAGATCGACACTGAGATCGAGAGGTGTCACACGTTGTCCCGTGGTGTCCCCTGGTGTCCCGTGGTGTCCCGTGGTGTCCCGTTGAGTAAGATCGATAGTGAGATCGATAGTGAGATCGAGAGGTGTCCCGCGGTGTCCCGTGGTGTCCCGTGGTGGCCCGTGGTGTCCCGTGGTGTCCCGTTGAGTGAGATCGATACTGAAATCGATACTGAGATCGATGTGGTGCCCCGAGGTGTCCCGTGGTGTCCCGGGGTGTCCCGTTCAGTGGGATCGATAGTGAGATCGATAGTGAGATCGACAGGTGTCCCGTAGTGTCCCGTGTGTCTCGTGGTGTCCCGCTGAGTGAGATCGATAGTGAGATCGATCCTGAGATCGATGTGGTGCCCCGAGGTTTCTCGTGGTGTCCCGTGGTGTCCCGCTGAGTGAGATCGATAGTTATATTGATAGTGAAATCGACAGGTGTCCCGAGGTGTCCCGTGGTGTCCCGCTGAGTGAGATCGATAGTGAGATCGATAGTGAGATCGATGTGGTGTCCCGAGATGTCCCATGGTGTCCTGTGGTGTCCCGCTGAGTGAGATCGATAGTGAGATCGATAGTGAGACACATAGAGAGATCGAGAGGTGTCCCGCGGTGTCCCGTGGTGTCCCGTGGTGGCCCGTGGTGTCCCGTGGTGTCCCGTTGAGTGAGATCGATAGTGAGATCGACAAGTGTCTCGTGGTGTCCCGTGGTGTCCCGTTGAGTGAGATCGATAGTGAGATCGATTGAGTCAGATGTTGGTTCCCCCCTCTCCCCCCCTCAACCTCCTTATCACCCGAAGGGTGGTCGTATAGGTATAATATATATATATATATATATATATATATATATATACAGATATACACATATGCACACGAATGTAAGAGCGCGCCGAGACAATCCTGGTGCACAGACGAAACGCACGTCAATGCGAAGATGGTGTCTGAGATGCGGACGTCTTCACACAAATCGTCTGGCCTCTGTGCGAAGTGCCCCCCGCGCCTGTGTCCAAGGGCCTGGCGGTGGTCCCGCGAGTTCTGGAATCTTTTGGAGCCAACATTGCAGATGGTTGGAACATTCTTAGGAGAAGCCCTAGGCGTAAGCCTATGTCAAGACTGGTCGAAAGCCCAGGGTCAGCGCACCTGGAGGCGCTAGGGGTAGGCCTACGAGAAAGCCCTGGCGGGAGGCCTGGGGATCCTAAGGGAAAGGCCAAGGAGCAGGGCTGTGGCAGGTCAGGGCTCTGGAGCCTCTTAGAGCACGTCCTGGTGACGATCGGAAGCTACAGGGCGAAGCCGTAGGCGTAAGCCCAGGAGGAGGCAGGAGGAGGAGGAGGAGGAGGAGGAGGAGGAGGAGGAGGGAGGAGGAGGAGGAGGAGGAGGAGGAGGAGGATGAGAGGGAGGAGGAGGAGGAGGAGGGAGGAGGAGGAGAGGAGGAGGGAGGAGGAGGAGGAGGATGAGGAGGAGGAGGAGGAGGAGGAGGAGGAGGAGGAGGAGGAGGAGGAGGAGGGAGGGAGAGGAGGAGGAGGAGGAGGAGGAGGAGGGTGAGCGTGTGGAGCAGCGCTGGGGGTGCGCGCGTCGTGGGTGTGCCGTGCGCGTGGCGTGCCGAGCTCGCGAGCCCCGTCGTGCGCAGGCCGTGGCCCGAAGCTCCGCGTGCGAGGCACGCGCCGTGCGCCGGCCGTGTGCGAGCCGTGCCCGCGTGCCGTGCGCGTGCGCGCGGCGTGCCCGAGCTCCCGCGTGCAAGAGATCTCTGCCGCGCCGTCCCGTGGCGCTGCCAGGGTGCGACAGGAGGTGCCGCGCCCGCGCGCGGTGCCGTGCGTGGGCCCCCCAGGGCTCGAACGCTGCGCCGTGCCGGGCCATGTCCGCGTGCCGTGCGCGCGCGCGTGCCTTGCCGTGCCCGCGTGCCCTGCCGTGCGCGTGCCGCGCCGTGCCGGAAGTCTCGAGGACGGAGAACATGCCGTGCCGTGCTGGGCCTGATTTCTGGGAAGCGTACAGTGAGCCGTGCAGTGCCGTGCCCGTGCATAGTGTTCAGGCACTGCGCGTCTTCCCATGGAGCGTTGATGCTTAGAGTCTCCATGCCGGTGTAAGCCAATGCCTGCGACCCCAAAGGGGGAACACGAACTGGGACAAGGAGCTCCCTAGTGCCGGATTGGCCCCCGAGACGGGCCCCGAAGAGGCGCCCGGGAGACCTCAAAAAAGGACTCTTAGAGATACCCCCAATCACCCAAGAGACATGCAAGAAGACTCTGGCCCACGATCCAGGTACGATGGCGGGATGGGCTGGAAACCACTAGAGCCGCCGCCCCAGTAACTTGCGGAGGGCCGCTGGCGTGCTAAAGCCAGAAGTACTCGTGTCCAAGATGGCCTATGTGGCCAAAAATGGCCTCCAGGACGGTCCAAGGAGGCCCCCAAGACGGCCCAAAGGGGAGGCCCAAGAGGCCCTCAGGAAGCCCGCAGGAGGCCTCAAGAGGCCCTCATAAAGTCTCACCTTCCCCCTCCCCCTCCCCCTCCCCCTCCCCCTCCTCCTCCTCCTCCTCCTCCTCCTCCTCCTCCTCCTCCTCCTCCCTCCTCCTCCTCCTCCTCCTCCTCCTCCTCCTCCTCCTCCTTCTGGCCTGGCGCTCCCAGGCGGTCCCATGCGTTCCCAGTCGCTCCCAGGCGGTGCATCGCCACGGAGCGTCTCTGGGGAGCCCAGGAGCGCCCTGGGCCGTCGGGCGGGTGCCAATTCACCGTGACGCGCGCCTGGGGTGCCCTGGGAGGGCCCTGGGAGGGCCCTGGGAGGGCACTGGGGAGGGGCATCGCCACGGAGCGTCTCTGGGGAGCCCAGGAGCGCCCTGGGCCGTCGGGCGGGTGCTAATTCACCGTGACGCGCGCCTGTGGCGCCCTGGGAG